AAAAAAAAAAAAAAAAAAACTGAAAAAAAAATTACGCTATGCAGAAAAATAAACTGAACAACTTTTGCCTCAAGGTCGCATTGAAATTATTTACCAAATTTAAAATAAAAATGAGACCATACGTGTGCATCTCCACCAGCCAACCTTTGTCCTCCACCGTCTTCTTTCTTACCTAGCTCATACGACTTCACTGCCACTGCTTTCGCAATATGCGCTGATATCGTCCTTATTTTTGAGAAAGGGGGGTAGATTCTCCCCACTTTGCGGTCGGCATCGGTCACCTGCTCCGCAAGGGCCTCAGCTGCACAACATCCAACAATGCTAGTTATATACGACCAGGTGAAGTTTGCACAGATTACTTTTGTGCGAGGAGACCAAGTTCAATGAACCAACAGGAAAAAACATGGGCATTAGTCTCCCGTAAGAAAAAGCGATGAGAGGATATGTCACGTCACATCTTGCACGCTCACCTCATATCCATTGCCGCAGATACATAAGCTTATTATAAGGTGATGCCCACAGTAAAAACTAATAATATTGATATTATTAATTATTATTTGGCTTCTTCTTCTTCTTCTTCTTCTTCTTTCTTGGGTAAACACATCGATTTGACAGTGTGGTGGCTGTTGAAACGCAGCGTGGGGGACACCCTACCTGTGTGTGACAAAGTGCTTAACAATCTCGTTTTGTTAAATTGAGTAAATGCTTCCTCGTTGACGTATGTCAACGTGCTTATTGCTGACTTCACTGCTTTTTGTGTTGACATCACTACTTGCATTTTCTGATACTAAAATTTGAATTTTGAACTAAATTTCATCGTTACACCCCCTCCCCCCCCCCTTTTCCAAAAAAAAATAAAAAATAAAAAAAATCATTGTTACCCAGCAACCTTCCCGCGTGTTGCACGCACGAGTCTGTTTAGTTCGTTGTTTGGAATGTGTACACACATGTGAGACCCATTTGTAGAGATCATAGATACGAGTATTAAAAATTTAATAGTAATTTCATAACGTATGATAGGTTTTTTTTTTTTTTTTTTTAACTACATTACCGACTCAGCCTTGGAACAGAAGAACTCAAAAAGTTTCTTCGCATCATCTTTGTCATATAATACATATATTATTCCTGGGAATTGTCGAAGATGCCTTGCACATTCTGTCAGTTGAACAAGGCTGTTTGTGAAAACAGTAAAAAAAAAAAAAAAAAAAAAAAAAAAAAAAAAAA